TGCCGTGGTTTTAAATAAGGGCAGACGTGGTGCTTGAGGATGTGGTTTAGTGGTGGACTTGGCAGTGCTAGGTTAACGGTTGGACTCGATGATCTTAAGGGTCTTTTCCAACCTTAACGATTCTATGATTCTATAAGCTGGACTTTTTCTTTTCTTAGACATTCTTATTTCAAAATACATCAGAAGTGTTTCTGGTTAAGCCTAGTACTTTACTACTCATTCTGAAATGTTGCACAATAATAATTTACCCAATACAGTCACCCACTTCACTGATACAGTACCTGCTATGAGGCTATTGAATATTTTATATGAATTGAAGAATTACATCAAACGACTGAGAAAATTTGATTAGCTCATTGTAAATGGTGTTGGTAGATTTAAAAAAAAAAAATCACTTTGTTTCCAAGTGATGTCTTTCATACCTATATGTATGATGGTTCTATAGTCAAGAAAAGTATGATACACTTCAATATCATTGATACATGAGTTGATAAGGTTGCTTTTTTCTTGCAGATATAATAATGTATGAGAATCTTTGGTGTGGAGAAATCATGCTGCAATCTACATTTACCAGTCAGTTACTGAATCTGGGGAACTGCTCAGCTCTCAATCCAGAAGAATGTAAGATTATAGTGCAAAAGCTTCCACAAAAAAATCATAGTAAAATAGCTATTTGAAGTACTCCCGTTTGTTGGCAATGGCTCATACACAGGATGAAATGGAAATGTGAGCAGCTGAGAGGTACAAAACACTATAGGAGGGTATGACAGGAACACCTGTGAACAAGATGTGGACATGATGACATCAGATAGGCATGTGGAGTTTATGGTAGAGTTGGGTGGTGGTGTGGTTTAACCCCAGCTGGCAACTAAGCACCACACAGCTGCTTGCTCTCCCCCCTGGTGGGATGGGGGAGAAAATCAGAAGGGCAAAAGAGAGAAAACTCATGGGTTGAGATAAAGACAGTTTAATGATTGAAATAAAATAATAATAATAATAATAAATTGTAATGAAAAAGAAAACAACAGAAAGAGAAACAAAACCCAGGAAAAGCAAGCAATGCAACTGCTTACCACCTGCCAACCGACACACAGCCAGTCCCTGAGCAGTGATCACTGCCCCGCAGGCCAACTCCCCCCAGTTTACATACTGAGCATGACATCATATGGTATGGAATATCTGTTTGGCCAGTTTGGGTCAGCTGTCCTGGCTATGGTCCCTCTCAGCTTCTTGTGCACCTCCTCGCTGACAGAGCATGGGAAGTTGAAAAGTCCTTGACTTAGTATAAGTGCTGCTTAGCAACAACTAAAACATCAGTGTGTCATCACATTATTCTCATGCTAAATCCAAAACACAGCACTATACCAGGTACTAGGAAGAAAATTAACTATTCCAGCTGAAACCAGGACAGGTGGTTACCATGCAAAACTCTGAAAAACTGAATTCTTTGAGCTTAGTTTAAGAAACAGCAATTAGCCAAGGACTCAACCATAAGATGTCTGAGATTTCTTGAGGATTAAATTTTTTGCAAAAATTTTAGAGGCTTAAAGAGTAAGTGGATACATTCAGGGAAAGTAATTCATTGCAGGCTGTTAAGCGTGAAGTCTTTAAAGATACCTGAGCCATGGTGGGTTGGAGACTAAGGGGAAAATACAGTGGAAGTATCACCATGAACTTGCATTGTTCTTACTGTCTTCCTGATGTCCATTATTGCCAGCTATTTAAGGCAGGTTCTGGGGTAAATGATCGAGAACAACTGTTCTTGCCAAGCTATGATACAAGATTTCTTTCCCATTTTTGGTGTAATTTAAAATATTGTACTTAGCTTAACTTTGGGATGTTATCAAGAGGAGGCAGATGAAGTACAGTTTCATTTTGGATCAAGAGTTACACATCTCAAGAATTTCTTGCCTTAGTATTATTGTGAAATGGTTTTGGTTTTGTCAGTGTAAATATGTACCAACTGATAAATGTTATACTTCTAAGCCTAAAAAAAGGGTGTCCCTTTAACTTTGTTTTCTCATAAAGTTTATCCTATAGTGGATGGTGGTGTTCTCCATGGTTTATTGGCATACATATCATCAGAATTTCCACACTTTGGAGAGATTCCACGAAGACAGGTTCAGAGACTGGATAGTGTTCAGTATATGCCGCTAGACCAGCTCCAGCCAAATACATTGGTTCACTCAATCTTGAAAATTATCAACATTGCCGTATTAACAGGTAAGTTCAGGTGCTAGACTTCAACTTCCAGAACTTCAACAATAGGTGGAACTTAAATAGTAATTTTGCAAGGCAATTCTGGTTGTTTCCCATTCCATACACTGGTGTTTGACATTGGAGTCACAAGTAAAACCTTTGTAATGGTCCACTCATGGGGGGGCACAGTAGTTAGAGAAATGGAGCTAGAGACGGGAAAGAAATAATGACTGTAGTCAGCTGCTGAAAGGAGGTTACTGCACACTAGCGCTGATCAATAGCATACACATCTGTGAGAGAAGCACTCAGGGAGCAGGCACTGGTAATCAGTGTTCCTACTCACTGAGGGATTGGTGTGTTTTCACTAAGAACGAGCACTCGCCACGGACTGTAGTTACTAATGTATTGACTTGTCAATGAGATGGCTTGAGCATCTCCACAGCTCCAAATAGTGTGGTGCCTGGTCTTCAATAAGATGGAGGATTGAAGAGAGATGCAGGTACAAAGCATAGAGTTGGGCAGTGATGGCAGGAG